TTTATCTTGAGACATTCCTTTAAGGTAAAATGAATGGTCACAAACTTATTTGACAATGATTTATGGTGAAATGTTCACTATTATCTTGTACTAAATCCTGCATGCTGTAGCTTCCGGACATTGATTAGCGTGGAAATCTTATCTAATTCTGAACCATTCAAGACCAAAGTAACAAGTATGCCAATCGCCAGTGTAATGTTTCCAATTTCCAGATTTCTTTTAAAGAAGTGAAAAAGGGGTAAGGGAAATTAACTATGGCATATTCATTATTCATCCTTACATGTATGCTATCTAAATGGTGTACAATGCTGTACAATGTTAAAAAAATTATAGTGCAGTGAAATTACTGTCAGAAGGTACCTGTATTATTCTGTTTCACTTTCAACGGAATTGCAGAGTTTTAGAAGTCACATCATATATAAATACAAACCTATCATCAACAGCGTCCTGGGGCCTTCTAATCATTACATATCACAATCCCTCGGAGGGCGAGTCAAAAAACATCAACTTTCAAATCTCTAAATTATTTAGAGGGGGAAAAGTTCCGTCTTTATACCAAACTGATGTGAGCCGCAACACTCTTCGGGGAAAGACAAAAAAAATTATCGGGTGCTGCGTTTACAGTTTGAGTCATTAAAACATCACATAATTCAAGCTGTTTTTGCTTATTTCACCGCACTTTTAAAACATGATAAAAGTCCACCAAATCCCTCATTTTTGGATTCTTATCTCATGATTAGTACTACCTTTAGGCCTTGTCTCCACGAGCCGTTTCACGAGATTTGTCCCAGGGAAAAATCCCACTTACGAAGTTGGGAAAAATATTGAGTTAATCAATACTTTTCCCAGTACCAAGTATGGTACTAGGACCCACTGAGAGAAGAAGAAGAAGTGAAAACGAATTGTGCGATATTTTATTCATTACTACATTGTTCATGTTTGTTTAGTTAAAATAATGTGTCTAATTGTCAATTGAGTGCAATTATTATTTTAATCCCGGTTAAATACTCGACTTTAACTAATTTATCTTCCCGCGCAAACTAGTCGCAGGACTGTATGAGCCCCGTCCCGTGAAGATGGTAACTGGGAAAAATCCCAGAAATGTCATTCCTGCGATTCGAACTTGGGACAAATCCCATGGAAACGTCCCGTGGAGACAAGGCCTAAGGGTCAACTTTTTGCCTTGCCAAGTCACTCAAAACAGTCGATGAAAATCACTGAAGAGTCGTTAAAAATCGTATTTTCAGACCTTAGCACGGGCACATCGGAGTCACAATACTTCGTTTGACAAAATAATTCTAACCCTCATTATGCCATAAGAGGAGTCATTGTTTTTCATCTTGTGTTTTGAGTGAATTTGCAAAACAGCACAAAGACCCTTGTCTTTCAGGGACTCTTCTTTCAATAGATTAAGAGGGTATTAAAGAATCATTCTGCCGAGAGATGTATTTGTGCCTTTAAGGAGTTCCTAGTAAGGTCGAAAAACATGATTCTTGTTAGACATTTCAGTGATTCTCGACAATTTTTTGAGTGACTCAGCAAGCACACAAAAATAGAGCCTTCAATTTTCAAAGAATCTTTGTCACGGTAAATGAAGAGTTCTAGGTTATACATTGAGTTGAAAATCTAGAGTGTTAAATTAAAGTCGTCAAAAATCGTGTTTTTCTACATTGCAACAGGCTTCCTTGCAGGCACAAACACATCGTTCGGTAAAATAATTTTTATACTCTCCGTATCTCTACTACAAAAAGAATCTTCGAAATTTAAAGGTCCAATTTCTTTAATTCGCCCTGTCCTTCGAAATAATAGCAAAAATCTCAAAGATTTCCATCAAATCGAGCGATTTGGCCTAAATATGATCTTACAATAGAGAAAAATCCCCTGCTCACATCCTGAAAACTAGTCTTTTATCGTAATGGGCCTGTTGCAAGGTGCAGGGATTTGCAAATTGATGCCTGATTCCTTTGGCAAATTTCACGAAAAGAACGATGGCGCTACTAAAAAAACTTGAAATGACCTCTCAGACTCAAAAAAAAAGCTGTTTTTGGAACCGACCCATTTGAAACGGTCACTTTAACGTGGTAACGGATCCGCCATACTTGTGACGTGAAATAGTGCGACAGACCTGGTCTTTTCATCACTTTCAATGTATTTTCCCATGAGGAATTGGCAGCCGCTTTTCAAATGCAAATATCGAATCAGTCTATGATTTTTTGAACAAAATGGAATTCAGAAATGGATTCCTTGTACGTTTAAATGGTTAAGACCTTCATGAGAAAAATAAGAACCGACGGGATAAACCCTATTTTTAGGGATGACTGTAGTCAATGGGCGATTGTTTACAACTGCTTAGGGATAACAGACATGGACATTAGCTCAATATTTGACCATTTTCATGAGTTTTTACTTTTTTGTCACTATTTGAAGGTAAGTTTCTTTTCTAAATCAATTGTTTAGTGCCTTAGGAGCATGTTAAAAGCTGTAACGGTACACATTGTTACTTATTAATTCAGAACACACTCCGGCAGTCCAACAACCATGGATGTTCTCTCAATGCGTGTAAATCATTCTTAACTCTTCAACAAACATCTCAATATCATTCAGAACGTTCCCAAGTTTTATAAACGTATGTTACTTTGAATTCCTGTGTGTTTTCAATGTAACACTATAGGTGCAGAAAAATTAATCGATAAGTTTGGTAACCCAAGAGGGATTCTACGTCTACTTTCCTTGCCTCCATCTAAAACATACCGGTCTCCTCATCTCATCAGTATTGTCAAAGGTAAGTTTTTTTTATCATCAATGATTGATACTATCATTTTGGTGTCTTCAGTGAAACATTGAAGGCTGAAATATTAAGAAATAACAACTGACTCGGTACATCCAGGTTTGAGCGTTGGACTGCCAGAGTGTGTTCTGAATCAATAAGTAACAATGTGTACCGTTACAGCTTTTAACATGATCCTAAGGCACTAAACAATTGATTTACAAAAGAAACTTACCTTCAAATAGTAACAAAAAAGTAAAAACTCATGAAAATGGTTAAATATTGAGCTAATGTCCATGTCTGTTATCACTAAGCAGATGTAAACAATCGCCCATTGACTACAGTCATCCCTAAAAATAGGGTTTATCCCATCGGTTCTTATTTTTCTAATGAAGGTCCTAACCATTTAAACGTACGAGGAATCCATTTCTGAATTCCATTTTGTTCAAAAAATCATATATTGACTCGATATTTGCATTTGAAAAGCGGCTGCCAATTCCTCACGGGAAAATACATTGAAAGTGATGAAAAGACCAGGTCTGTCGCACCATTTTACGTCACAAGTATGGCGGATCCGTTACCACGTAAAAGTGACCGTTTTGAAAATCCAAATTTTAAGGCGTTTTTAGGTTGATTTTTTGGGGGTTTCCGGTGATCAAAAAACTCCGGGAAAATTCCTGTGACATCAGGAGCCTTAGTTCTTTCGATTAAAGCAATAAAAAAAAATGGTGAAACAGGCCCATTGATTATAAAAATGGTTCCTAAAACCCAGTAACTAGTTTCATGGGTGTTGACTAAGTGTTTCAATACAATTCAATACGCCAGTCGCAATTAACGGCGACCGTGCTTTTGGCTCTTTTAGGGGCGTGTGTANGGGGGGGGGGGGGGGGGCTAAATAGCTTCCTTAGTCAGTAATTGTCTTTTTTACTTCTTTGTTCCTATGCACTCGAATTTTTCTCTCATTCTTATTTCATTCTACCGAAGCTTGAACATCAATCAGGTCATTGGAAAATTACATAGGCCAGGATTGCAAATTCATGGAAAACTAGTTAAAAATCGTTATCATCCAAAAGTTGAACACACTTGAGCATCAGGTTAAAGTTATCTAATTTGGCCAAATTTTGAAAAACCTATTTTTTAATTATTTATGGAATGGTTCAAAACCGGATCTCTTTATATTTCGAACAATAGCCGCATCACAAAATGGGGAATTTGGGGAAAAAATCCCCGAAATTCAAAATTTTAATCCACGTGAGCACTGAGTTCAAATCATCCACTATCGCCGGAATTTTTTTTAACTCATTTTTTTCATCGATGGATTTTATCATCGATGGACACCCGGACCTTCTTCGATTTCATCTTTCCTTTTCCAGCCCATCACACCGTGAAGCCAACGAAAACCATGCTGCTCATCTGCCAGGTCTTTTTCTTTTAGTATTCGTTTTAGCTGGCAGACTCATAGCGTATCATTGAAAAATATGGTGGTTGCCGGTGCGAAGGCAGATAAGTGCTGTCTCCACTTGTCAAAATGGCGTTAAAATGGAAGCTCAAAGTGAATCGATTTCATCGATAAGTGGCTCAAAGTCGGGACTTAATGCGATTGATGAGTGTTGCAACTCAATATAGAGCGGCGCGACTCTTTTTTGATCAACAATCGCGAACAGATCGTACTTATCGATTCACTTTGAGCTTCCATTTTGACACCATTTTGACCAGTGGAAACAGGGCTATGCATCGTGGATGACGGTCTTGCTGGTATAATACACAGTGTGCCTCTTGTCCCAAGCACAAAATTGGGAGATTTTTCTTCATGCAAAAAAGCACTATCTGGATCCGGTATTATCTGGCCGGATACCTTGGCGAACTATCTGGTATCTGGCTCCGGCCGGAGACAAAAAACTGATATCCGTATCTGTATCCAGTGACGTGGAAAATCCATTTCGGCCCAACTCTACTATTTAACATCATTAAAACTGATGAAAAACTTTGTTAGGGGGGAATAGGAGTGCAGTTATTTAATGGTAGCGTACCGACAAATAACGTTCTATTTGACAGTACTGTACCGCTCTGTTTTATTTGACAGTATCGTATTGCTGAAGAACCGCTCCGTTTTATTAAATCAGTCATATTTTAACCGTGCTGTTATGCAGGATGAAAAAGTAAATGTAGTTCAGGGAGCAAACATAAAAAATGTATTATGTTACGCTAATAAATGTTAATTTTGTCCTTTCAGCGAGTCTTCAAAGCTATGTATGATTATGAGGCACAAGATACAGATGAAGTTTCATTTTTGAATGGTGATCTGATCATTAACTGTTCTCCCATTGATGGAGGTTGGATGAATGGCACAGTCAAACGAACTGGACTTAGAGGAATGCTTCCTGCCAACTACGTTGAGCCTGTTACAATTTAGATCCTTCACACTCATTTTTGAATGGATACAAATTAAGCATCAACATGGAGCGATGCTGAATCATCTCGCTTTAAAATATTAAAAGAATTCATTGCTTGTATACTCTTTTTTTCTCACGATTTTAAACGAGAGAGAGAGGAAGAGAGGGGGTCAGGAGAGAAAGAGAATGATCCACACATAATGCTCGAAGTGTTCTCAAGCATAATTAATGACTGCATTCTAATATTTAGACTAACAAAATAATTATAGTCAGAAGAAAACAGTATACACTCTGGTGTTTACCGCAGTGCTCAGAATATATGTATAAATTTTTTTTTTTTCTAGTATCCTATTTGCTACAGTCCAATTCAGGGGAGTGATTTTCATATCTGATATCGGTCAAATAATTTAAATGTGGTGTGAGAGTTGTTGCTGGGTATTTTTAACAAAAGATTGTTGTCTGTGATTTCATCTGTTTGCACTTAACCAGGGTGTCTGCCGTCAGTGACAACGGGACAATATCAGGGAATTCGATGTTATCAAGAAAAATCAGGAAAATATCAGAAAAATTGGTCATGAATCAGGAAATTCTGAGTGCTTCAAGCACTTTTCAAATATTCAATTCAATTCATTAAATATATTGATTAGTTAAATCTAATGAATGTCAATTTATTCTTGCAAAATTATAGGATATTTTGTTTAAATATCAGGAAAATCTTAAGTAAAGTTTTAGTAGACACCCTGAAAACTAACTCATGTCACGCGTCAAGTTTTCAGCAGTGGTTAAATTTAGGTAAATTATACTTGCGGTGGGTCCAAGTAAGTATTAGTTGTCCTTCTTTACCTAGGAACGTCTCTCGTGTTCCAAATGCTGTGAGGAAAGGGTGTAGTGAGAAATTTCAGAGGAATTTATGTTTATGAAATTTCAGTAACTAAAGTAACCTATCGGCTGTGCATTAGGTAATTGATACGAGGTATGCAATCTTTATTTTTTAGGCTTCACCCTTAAAACTATACTCTCTGATTAGAGGAGACCTAGAAGTGGCATCCTAAGATTTTTAAGTGATTCATAGCGATAAATAGATCAAGCATTGCTGACAACAAGCGCTCTTTAGTTCTCATCTACGGGCTCCTGAATTAAACCTCTCCAAAACATTGTCTTAATCTGTGTATTTAGCATTCAATTTGCAACAATGCTGCCATGTTGACTGCGATGACATACTGGCACAAAGCTTCCTTCACTATTAGAGGTTTGTAAGTTTTACCTCTGCCCTGGCCAACTTTTGGTCATCCTTTTAACAATTTCTGTTTTAATTTATCTCATTAAGGTAATAGCACCAGATTCTGAATGCTTAAGGATTTTGCCACCTTTATTAATTAGTAAAATTTGCCAGGAGCAAAAAATGGATGGAAGTGATTACAAATTGAATTACCCTTCTTTTCCAGTCCATCTCATTTAAAAAATATGTATGTATTTTTAAGCAAGTGATGAGCAATTTAAGGAAAAATTGTCGATTTCATCAATTTCAGAAAGGAGGGACCCTAATCCCAAAAACTGAGACCCCAATCTCCAATTTTGCTTCGCTCACTCTTAACCTAAATTTAGGTACACCCCCTCACATTTCATCATCGAAAAAATGAAAATAAAAGCAAAACTCAATTTTAAATGAAAAAATGAATTGAAATTTATTAACACTTACTTAAAAATGAGAATAAAATTTAGATTTTTGATGGTCATCTTGACTAAAACCTTTGTAATTCTGCGGCTTTTCAATACATCCTGTAAGCATACCTCTTTACATTATGGACTCTCACATTAAATGGAACAAAAACTGGTAAGTGGATCGACCGAGAAGAAGAAGTAATTGTCAGATCATCAATACCGTAGTTAAAATAAGATATCCGTCAACTTACTTAACAGCTTCAATTCCTTCCGAAGCTTTGATAAAAAAAATGAGAGGGTATCCTCTGTATTTAAAGCCCGATTGCTAGTCACTCGAAAGATAGAATTTCGCCCCGTGTTGTAAAATACGACTGATAGTTGTGTAAACTCTTGAATAATAGAATGGTTTGAGGAAAAAGGGACTAAAAATAGGAAATTATGCATTGATCATAATATCAATTGAAGTAAAACCTCAGCAGCCATAGTGTCCGAGGAGGAGGTTTCAATTGCTCTTAAAACTAAGGAGTTATAGCACTAATTGAAGGCCAGGATGAATTTTAAATGAAACCAAAAGCATGTATGATATTAAGGCAAGAACTGGAAACCTAATTTAACTTCAAAACTATTCTATTTCACTGATGGGGGGGGGGGGGAAAAAACAAAGTTTTTGGAAATTAGAATGACTATCTCTCATGCCGTAAGGCATATAATTCGGCCATCCGGTAACTGGATATCCCGTAGTAGCAATTAATGAATGAAACCGAGTATTCTTGGGATCAGTGGATAGCTGAATCTCTGAAGGAAACAACAATATCAAACAGAATAATGTTCTTAGTCCTGATAAAATAATCTTTATTTTCAGCTAGTCACTTCTTGTCAATTTCCGCTCCCGCTTGGTGCCGGCTGACTAGCTCATATTGAGAGCCCAAAAAATTACTTTAAAATGAATGTAAATAATTTTGTTGTTATTGTTTAGTGCTACCCTGGACAGGAGAATTTAAAAACTTTCATCTGAATATGGCAGCATTGCCTAGTTTGCTTATTTCCTCGAAAAAAGAGAGTACTTTTCGGAAATTGGGTGCGTTGCGGAAACTGATGCCCTTGTACACAAAGAAACTCGACAGAACATTGCCTTCTAGGTAGAATATTGGACCAAACTAAATTCGACAGGGGGGGTACCGGGGGACTAAAATTGCTCAGGGGGGTCATAAAAAGCGTTATGGAGAGAGGATCAAACTCACGGCCTCTTGATTGGGAAGTGAGTGGACTACTTGTTGTGCCATCGCATTGGAATTGGTAAATGGTGGCAATGCAATGCTCATAGTGTAGACAATGATCGGGGGAATCTTTGAGTTATTTGAGGCCCACTGATCAGCATGTTGATGGTGTAAGTCGGCAATCACATAACTCGGTTTGCGACGTCGCAGACTTCCTGTCATACTTTATTATTTAAATGGAGAAACTACTCAACAGCAACTCTTTAAAACTGCCGTGATTTTTCTTCTGGGTGCGAAGAAAATTCTGCAAAAATTCAAGGTATGATGTCAATTTGTTCTCCTTTAAATAATGCAAAGGTGGAGATTTTCAGACACCGCAAATGAGATTTATGATTGCGGACTTACGCCATGGATGTGTTAATAGCTGTACTAGAATTACATTTTGCCGCTAAGTGCACTCAAATCGGAGGGGGCCACTTCTAAACATCTCCTTGTGAGCAACTAGTTTAAGTTCTTCTAATATTAATCAATTTAATTCGATGGAAAAAATACATTTTCGAAATCCTTCACTTAGAATACCCAACGCTTTTTCTATTTATTTGGTCGATACTTAATCCTCTCCATTTTTTAACTTAAAATAGCTTTAGTGGTCACCAAGCCTCACTAGATAATTGCCATCAAACCCTTAATTCTCTGAAAAGAAAACCTGGATTTCTCAACAGACCCTACAAAAATAAATGTATCATAAAAGAATTTAAATATTATATTTATGTGTGGGGTGTGTGTGTGTGTGTGTGTGTGTGTGTGTGTGTGTTTAGTAATTATTATTATTATTATTATTATTTTTTTTTTTTTTGAAGAGTTCAAATGTCTAGTTCGTTATTATATCACAGGATGTAATAATTGTGCCCGATTTGCATCTTAGTAACTCTCACAGAATTTGATCATGAGAGCAGAAAAAAAGAGGAGTACTAGTACCAAAAAATGCAAATTAATTTAACCTCTTCATTACCATGAACGCAGCATCTGGGTTTAGCGTAAACACATCCTTTTCTAAGGATTCTGCCATCAATCAACAACCAGCACTTACAAGTATTCACATTTGTAACACTATATGTCAAGGAGAATCTGAACTGCAACTGTAGAGTGCTGTCGAATTTGTTTGCTTGACAGCGAAAGCCCGTTGTGAATTATGCACTCACAAGGCACTAGGCCAAAATTTCCAATTTAAAAGGTCCAAAAGTCGAAATGGCCAAACCGAAAACAGCCAATAAAAATATTGCCCAAAAATATTCTTATGTATAATAATTACAAAGCGGCCTAAACTTCGTAATGGCAAATAAAAGGGAAAATCCAAGGAAGTATGAAAACGCAGCTATTACTGAGAATAGTCTGAGTCTGACTCAGAGTCAGAGGATGTGTCTTACATTGCAGTTGTGCTGTGCACACGGATGTTGTATGCTATTCCACGCAAGTTTTTGGGAATTTTATTTGCAGTCTTAAATTCTTGATACCGTCGCACTAGTCTTTCTATTCTAGCTTGATTTTCTCGTGATTTTTTACCACCTTGTTGCCGGACACGTCTATGTTCAAAGCTGAGCACAGACTTGCTCTGTATCATGTTGATCTGTTCGAATGAAGTCTAAAAATTTCCATGTATTGAGATGATGGGTATTTACTATCTTCTGATATTTTGAGTGGTAATTTTCTACATTATATCTGGTCCTCTGCTTGCCGTTTGGTGTCACTTAGCACACACACCACAAAGTGCAACGTAGGTGGATATCTAGGGGAACTGCTCGTCGGCGTCCAGCTGCAAGTTTCCCATTGACGTAAATTTCGTCAATGTACTCATCAAAGGCATGAATACTAAGTGGCGTTTAGTCAGCAAGTAGGTAAAAAACGTGAAATATGTCAGCAAAAGGTACGAAGGGTAAAGCCATATTCCCGATCAGTAGCTAGTAAATGTTCTTGTAATGCTCCACTAAATTATGTTTAGCAGTATTTCCACACAAAGATTGCCAGAAGTGGAAAAGGGAGCAATGTTGGACTGCATTGGGCTATGCTCCCCGACAAGCGTTTATATTTCCTGACTCAAAGTCGGACATCATGTGTCCGGGTTCAAAGAACAAATTATGGCATGCGGCAAAGTCTTTTGATTCCGGGTTAGGGCTGTGCGAATATTCGCAATTCTGACTATTCGCGCCGCGAATATTTGGCGAATATTCGCTACGTCTGCCTCGCGCACTATTCGCAAATTGTGAATAATCGCGCCGTCGCGAATAGTGAATTTTTTAACTGATATTTTCAAATATTCGCGCCGTCACACAGTGTGTCAAAACCCCAATCTAGCTGCTCAAAACCCCCCTTTTATCAAGTCAACAAATGGTGTTATTTATGGTCAGAGTGGGTCCACAGGCACCCACTGGATACGTATCTATCATGGTTATCACAAAAATAAATTTTTTGGTCGCTAAAATGATAGGGATTGCAGCCGGTAAACCTCCAGCCTCAATCTCGCCATCAGGAGTGGTGCCACTGTATTGCTTTTTTTTAGAGTACTTCGTGGCGAAAAAGGGTCATTTCTGGATGAAACGAGATGCCAAAGGCCAGAGAAAGGAAATATGACCGTTGATTTCTCCAAAATCATTATTTAAGTATTATAATTGCTCATTGAAAACAGTGCCCAAGACCGTTTACTTTTCCTGGCTTTAATAGAGCCGCAAAAGCGCGGAACTACACGGAACACCATGAAACCTATATGAGAGTGTTCAGAAAACTATCTAGATTTGAAATGTCTTTAGTTTTACTGCTACCTTCCGCAACCTTGAGAATAAGAGCACATTTTGTTCGGCGATTCCTAGTGTAAAAGCGTGCGGGCGGCGTTTTGCGATCTCCCCCTACAGGCTGTCACAGGTGAAGTGAGACGGAGGCAGCATCTCACCACGCGCGCTCGGTCCCCTGATTTGAGTGAGCCTTATCATGAGGCTTTTCACCGGTCCAGATAAGACAGCATGGTGGCTCAGTTGATTGCTTCTTTCATTATTATTTGCATGATCGGAGTTCAAATCCCGAGCAGATCAATTTTTTGAAATTTTATTTTCTATTTCATTACGATTTTCCCATTATCTATACTGTCATGGAAGGGGGAGGGGGGTCCTCATAAATACAAAGTTGCATCGTATTTTTAACAAGTTTCTTGTATGATTTGATTCAGACTTTCTTATTTATTTCTAATGAGGAAAGGTTTCGGACATGGTTTATGAAACGTAGGAAAATGAAAAGGAGGGGGGGGGGGCTCGCCGAAATTTTCCTTTACTGGCAAACATTTTGAAAATATTATCTTTGACTTATCACTTAGAGTTGCCGAAACGTATCATTTTAATAATATGGAATTCATATTTCTTTGGATGGCCAAATGAGAAATTCGCCATTTTGAAGTGGAATGCGTAAGCCCAAGACATCCTCCACGACTTATTTTGGATCGGAAAACACAATTTGACTAATTTTTGGGGTTCATTAGGTCACATAAGGCGCCTAAAACTTAGTTGAAATTTTACGATTTTTACATGAGTTGAACAGGATTTTTAGATGGCCGCCATTTTGAAAATTTTGATGACTAAGTTTTGAAATTTTAGGTGAACCTTCTTCAAGCTTACACTAACGCCTGTGCGAAATTTGGTGGTTATTCGACCAAATTTAGAGACGTGAAGAGGTTTTGAGCAGCTAGATTGGGGTTTTGACACACTGTGCGTCACGAGGAATGAATTTTCAAATATTCGCGGCATCAAAAATAACGAATTTCCGAGTGGCAATCGTGAAACGTTGCCAGGACCTGCGCAAGGCTTCCGCTTCCACCCGAGACATCGCGAACGGCGAATCTCCTTCGATCTTTACCGACTTTGCCGAGTTTACCAACATCGAGCGCGATTGCGATTGGGAGAATAAGCAAAGAGCCCAAATTAAGGATTGAAAGACACAGAAATTTCTGAAATTGAGAAAAAAGTTCATAAATACATTTTTATTTACAGCAAAAAAAACTAAAGTACTAAAATGTGTCTAGCAATCCTTCGATAGGTACTAGCTTGACTGCCCGTACAGTTACCTTCGAATCCTGGAAATGCATACGTAACTGCAGGGACAGTCAAGCCAGCATCCAGAGATCTTCGAACAAATTCTTAACAGCCTATAGGTTACTATCATACCATTTCATTGTATTCTGTGCAGGCGTATGAGCAAATGGAAAATTCTTGAAAATTAGTCACATTTTTTTGGTCGACTTTTGTAATATTCGCGAATTTTACTATTCGTAGGTGTGAATAATTGACTTAAATTATTCGTTATTCGCTTCGCTTTTCGCGAATAGTTGCCGAAATTATTCGCTATTCGCTTCGATCGGAAAATTCACTATTCGCACAGCCCTATTCCCGGTACACTGTCCTGTATGTGTCTTCACCCCTGTTAACAGACAAAATGTATGCAAAAGGGAAGCAGAACCCCTTGTACTGTCAGTGGATTGTCATCAATTGCAGGAACTGACGAGGCCCAATCATGAATGTAATGCACGTAAATATCATCTCACTTGCTGATAATTTTTGCATATTTTGTACCGTCGTGAAGATGATGACGCTACTTGGATCATTCATTCCTGAATCGAACGTGAATAAGAACCACTGTCTGGATTAGGTGCGCCTGTAATAAATGTTTTTGTTGATGTCTTGTAATATCATTGGCAGGGGCGCACGGTGGATCGAGTCAATGGGAGGGGTCGGTCATCACGCGTCTTATTTTCTCTGATTACAGAGATTTCCCGCCCTTAGAATGGATCGAATTACTGATATCTGATGTATTTTTCGTCGTAGATTCCATTTTTTATCATATTTCAGCCGAATAACTAGTTCTAATACGATTTTGACACACTTTTTCTTGACTATTGAAAATGGGATCCTTGATAGTTTATTTTTCACGTTACTTTCGGCGAATGGGACCGTAAGCATCTTACATAAAGAAGAATTTTGCAGAACTTGACTCAAAGACATTACTTAAGGAGTGAGGGAGGGCGGCTTCACAGGACCCTCACCACGAAGGTTGCCATATTTCTTTCAATTTCTGCTAACATCGTTTTTTGTTCATGTAAAATGGTTTCTCGCAATTCCATACTGACACGTATACGGAACATTCTGATGTTCATTTTTCTTCTCTTTTCTTCCAGCCAGTCAATAGACGTTTTCATTTTCATGAACCCTCTACTCTTTCAGTTATTCAACAAATATGCATGTTTCAAAAAATAGATCAATATATTAAAGAAACAAAAAAAAGAGATGTATATACTATAGCTTCTTTTTATCGAGTCATCCTAGAAGATTATTATGGATACTTACCACAAGATATAAAAAATTGAATGTGCAGTAAAAAAAAAAAAATTATATCATCTTCCATTGTTTCGTTTTGTTCCTCGAAGTTAGGAGTGAAGTTGAAACATTTTTATCGAAAAAATATTAAAATAGGAGGAAATTTATTTTTCATGCAAGTTCTGATCCCTTGTTGAACCTCTAAGAAGGACCGTTGTCTCTTGAAGAAATTTCTTGTATTTCTTCTTTTTCAACCCACAACCGATTTTTATTTGTATGGAGCTCATGGAAGAGTTCTAGGTATGTTGAAGACATTTTGCAAGCAACGGTACTTGTGAAATATACAATGCGCAAAACATACACCTTAAACTTTATTGCACAGTACAACACTGATCAAATTAGCTTCATAGACTAACAGGAGGTTAATGCAGGGTTGCCAGCGACCGGGAAAACCGGGAAACGTCAGGGGAAAAAAATCAACCGGGAAAAGTCAGGGAAAGTCAGGGAATTTCGGTGTTGGTCAGGGATTTTTCTGATTTTTCGTGGAATTAGGCGCGGGCGGTCTCGGGCTCGCGTTGCGGCATCAACTAGACCGCGCATTAGGAAATTTCGGCAAGACTAGAGTCCCTTCAGGCGAGACGATAGGCAACCCAGCAACCGCAGTAAGTGTACCGACCGAGACAATGGATAATGCTAGTCTTATCAGTGCCGTTGCCTGATACGGGTACACTTAGCTCGTATATCCGGCGGTATCAACTAGGCTGAAGGCGCGTCTTTACCCCCCTAGCTGTCTTACCTTCCCCGCCTTAAGTCGGGCCCAATGCGCGGTCTGGATTGTATTACCTATACGTCAATGGGATTAACTGACCACTGCGTTCGATTGCGGAGGATGGTGGCGCTCTCGCTCGGCTTCGCGAGGAATTACCGGCATTCCGACCATCGCGTCGCGTCGGACCTGCGCGCGCGTGTGAGGGTGTGTGTGTGCGCGTGTGAGGGTGTGTGTGTGCGCGTGTAAAAGTCAGGGAAAAATATTGGAAAGTCAGGGAAAAGTCAGGGAATGGAAAAAAATAATTTGGCTGGCAACCCTGTTAATGTCTCGTTCAAAAATATCAACAAATCAGCCAAAATCAGTAATCAGTAGAAAAATTACCGAGATTGAAGGATATCGTGTGATGCACGATTGTATTGATGACATTAGAGCAAGATCGGATTCCCAGCAGGCGCGACTTCCTATCATTCAAATGGACCGTTTTTGCAGATTAACGGATATTAGCGGCTAATTATTACATAATATCATTCCTGATAGTGTACAAGAAGCAACCCAATAAAGGATTTTGTGGACACTTGTGGACATTTTTTTACCAAGCTATCTTAACATTTTCTTGGGTGTTTTTTGAAAGCAAGTTTTGGAGGTGGTTTTGGTCCTCCTACAAATATTCCAATGCACATTAACGATACACCAAAATGTTCCTTAAAGGGAGGAGAATAAGCATGTTCAATTGAAATTTTGATTTATCTGCCACAGAACTCATGCAAAAGCGAAATAAAACCTTGAGAATCAGACGGCAAATTTGATACCACCTGCAATGTCAGCTTTAGGCAACCCGCATGTCAAAGCGGAAGGGTTCAAAGACCCTAGACCCATGGATACAATCATTTTGGAAGCCTAACTACTAGAAAACCAAGAAAAAGTATCTATAATCCGACTTTTTTTTTCGTCGCCCATGACCGACCTCTACCTTTGACTCGATCCACCGCAAGGCGATCTTGTATTATTTTCGTGATGTTTAACAAGTCGGCAAAGCATAGTTCGCTCTGGAATGGTCGCCAAGATCTCTTCATTGTGGAGCATTTGCCTACCGCATGTACGATTACGTCAGTGGCTCCTTCATTTGGATGGGCTGTTGCTCGGTCCCAAAACCCTCTAACCTCCAGATTTGCAACATCAGGTGAGAGAGAGTGCTTGCCTGTCCCGTTCTTTGAGATTTGTTTGGTTAGTGTCCTCAGTTGTAGTGCAATGCACATTGCACCCTGACCTGTCGCGGCAATGCCAGTTAAAATCGGAATTTTTATAGAGAATTGGAGTAATATTGATTTATAAAACTATTGTGCGCTATAAGCAAGTTTTTCTTTTGACTTTTAATTATTTCTGGATTCATAATTTGAAATATGTAGGTAAAGACTTGAATTAATAAAATATTTAAAAGGGAAATATGAAATATGCTTCTCAAGATAAATTTGTTTTAAAAGAACCAACATGCTCTTTTTCTGGTTTCCATGACGCTTAAAAGCCTCGTTACCACATCAAATTTTGAACATGCACATGGTTCCTTGAGAAATAGTCGGGTGTCAATTTAGTAAATCTAATTTTTTTTTTTATATCACACTGGACTTCTTCCTTTATTTGACAATGTAGAAATTCGGCTGTTCTGCGTCATAGTTCATCAGAATGTTTTTGGGCAATATTTTTATCAGTCGTTTTCAGTTTGGACGTTTTGACTTTTGGACATTTTATCCTAGCACTGCTCACAAAATTTAACCTGGTTATGTAAGAGTTAAAGTCTCTCCTTAATGTAAGAAATTAGCGTCAAACATACCCTTTTGATTTTCAAGCAATAATGAAAAGTGCTAGAATTGAATGAATAATTTTGTATCACAATGTGCCTTAGTTAAATTTCGGGTGTAATAAGAATATTTGGGCAGGGCTCCTAAGAGTTGATATAAGTCGTGATTTCGGTTTGGCCTTTTTGATATTTCTACTACTCATCAGAACATAATAGTGGCTTTACCTCAAGGTAGTTCCTTTATTGCAATTTTTTCTTGTTGAACCGTCTGATCTCTTTAAAACATGCCCCTTAGTTTAAAATGAGCTCCCAAAAAATGTCCAGCTTAATCTGACAGTTCAAAGCTGTGCTGCTTTGGCTGTAGAGTAAGCAAATGAGAGTTCATTATTATGAAATGGAACATTTTCCTGTCATTTTGCCTTTGGAACTTGGTCAGCATCCTCAAAAACCAAAGCCCTCTTTCCTTTGTGCAGACCAAGTTCCTTAGGTTAGAAAAACAGGATATTTCAAAATACTGAACTCTTGGCTGCTCTCTTTGCGGCAAAAGTGACTATATGGAAAAATATGGTTTCAGTAGGCTGAAATTTTTTGGGAGTCTCTTTACGCTCAAGACAAGGTTTTTGTGGGGTAAGGCAGTTAGAATCTGGACAGTTCTAAACTAAGAAACTTCCTACCTTCCCTGTTATATTTCGTCTCCTGATATCTAACAATACACATGATCTTTTCACTTTTAGTATAAGATTCTGATACAAAATTGAGACAATATGCCGTCCTTCTCCCACCCTCATGCCCACCTCTTCATGAGAAATCGAACTTTATTCAGTAATAAGTAATGAAGTTTTTGAAGTTTTCGTAGCGTATCAGGGACTTGTCAATTGAATACAAGGAAGTTCAAAAAAATTTCTAATTGAGTACTTGATTTGTCAAAAAATGATCTGTTGTATGCAGCAACTTGTATACCTTCGTAAATATGGTATAAATGCATCATGTTTTTGTATGCTGATCGAAGAATACTTGAATTTTCAATCAAAAATCAAAAGTATACTACCAGTTTCCAGATCAGATGAAAAGTAAATAGTTAGCATTAAATTATGGAAGTTTCATCCTTTGTCTCCCTCTAGGTATGAGTCAAAAAGTTCTGAAATTACAGCATTAGTGTTACCTTTAATGCATGTGTAAACCGCGAACAGCTCAGGGAAAGGGGAAGGGCAGTAACATAATTTTGCATGAATATCTTTCTTTTTGAACTGTAAACTTTTTATATTTCTGTTGTAATCTTGTAGATTGTACAGCTAAATATTTTACTATCAATTGTTTAGTTGTTTCATGAGACAAGAAAAAGTGTGGAATTTATTGAGACTTCATTCATGAACCTAACACCTGCTCAGAAATTTTAGGGGGGTGTAAATTTATATCGTCCTTCATGTCCTTAAAAATTTTAATTCCTCTTCATTCACTGAAAATAATAGTGGAGCTGCAATGCATACCTACTATATTCTCATGAGAACATGGTTATTACAATTAGTTCATTATTATGGTTGCTAAGGAACAATTCTACAATCGCTCATTTTTCTCAATTTGATCCCTCGAGTCGAAAAAATGCTCTGAGCCCCTCTTTGAAATTATGAAGAGGGACCCCAATAAATCGGAATTTTGATCTAACTTGGGAAATTTATGGGAATTAATATTGGGGAAATGGGTTTTACCGTTAAGAGATGTAGCTATAATGAGTCACTAGGCCTTTGTAACATTGTAGCACATTTTGTTTTGTATTGGCAAGCCCTTGCTTGAGGGGTGTCCGGCAAACTCGAACCCGATAATTGTTTACCGTTGCCAAGTCACAGCAAGATTCCGGTTTTTCGGGGGTTCTCCCTCGTATAAATTTTTTTTAATACAGTTACAGAATACAGATACATAATCAGATTCAGTTCCTTTTTTACACCATGCACGCGTAATTAATTTTTTTAGTTGCCCTCCTCTTTTAAAATTCTTTCATACCAAGAGTTGTCCATCAATGGGTCAGTTGCGCTGGTTACAAAATCATGTTTTGATGCTTGATTCTTGTAGATCAGCTGTAAATGATAAGATGTGTCCAAACAGAAACTTTCTTGGTTGAATAATTACAAAGATACCTACTGCGCTTTGAAAAATTAGGTTTACAACGTCATTCACGGCGGTAGTGACACCCTTTGTTTCTACTATCTTGCTCTCATCAGACAGGGAAACACGCATTTGTACCGGTTAGCTCAACAAGACTCAGATGAAAGCAAGGTGGAAGAAACCATGGGTGTCACCACCGCGGTGGATGATGTCATAAACTGAATTTTTCAAAGTGCGATATCTTGGTGCAATAAATCAACATTTTGAACGTAGAAAGTTGCTGTTTGAACAAATTTCAATATTTGTGGCCAGTTGACATGAATCAAGCATCAAAACACGATTCTAAGACCTCAAGTGAACCATTGGTTCTTACTAGTCTGAAGTGTGTACCCTGTGCCTCCCTCTCTTTTCTTCTTATAAGTACCACAATTTACCTAGTACCATTCCATGTATTATTCTAAAAAAACTGGTCTTATCCGTCCATTGTCCTTCATAATTAAAAAAAAATTTCTGCATATTGTTCATCCTAAGGTATTAGATTTTTTTTTTATGACATTGTCTTCCTGAGTTTTTAATCTGGGAAAGGTTACTTGTCTTTCTAGCCTCAGTTACTTTTGTTCTTACTATCAGAAGAACATAATTTAACAAAATAAGTTAGGAAAAGATACCTCAAAAATATATTAGATTATTAATGCATATTTCCGCAGTGAAAACCAGTGATTTTTTAGTTGTGATCATCGTCTTTTTACTGAATTCGAAACCTGGATTAAGGTACCTACTTAGGCAAACAACCAGTCAAGTGTAAATAAGGAACTAAGACAGAATCAAAGAAAAGTTTTCTTTAGTTCGAATGTTTGGGCAAATCGCCCTCAAGTTTAATTATTCCAAGTGAAAAATGCTAAGTTTAAGGTTGGGCATTTATTCTTGTTACTCTGTGTAGCCCTAACCACATGATCAGCTTGAGCTTCAGTTAAGCGTCAGTTTGGTGTTTGCTCCTCAATTGAATTTCTCAAATTTTTTCGTTAACAAGTAGCTTTTATAACTATATAGATAGAGGGAGAGAAGACGAGTGGAACACAGCCAATTCAGAGCGTCGATTGTTGCCGCAAAGTACAAACGATCACCGAACACCAGACTCATCAAACTTATGCCAGACTGAAGTTCAGGCTGATCATGTACCTAAGGGCTAATACAGTAAAGCTTGATGGAAAAATGATTCCCATTTTTCTTATTATTAGCTATCATATTTCTCATTAGCCTTATTCTGTAGTTGGAACTGTCGACTTATCGAATCGATGGTTTCTTCTATCTCTCTGCAACGGCAGTGGTGCCCGACAATAACGAGATATCGAAATTTAAAGATACCGAATCACCCAAGTGGTCTGATGAGTAGTTTTGGCAAGGGACCTAGATCCATTGATCTTGATCTCGATACAATATCGATATCTCGTTATTGTCGGGCACCACTGCCGTTGCAGAGAGATAGAAGAAACCATTGATTCGATAAATCTACAGTTCCAACTACAGAATAAGGCTAAACGTGATTAAATGAGTAATTCATTTTTTTTGTGATTGCGGTGGCGGTTTCCTTGAGAACTGGCAACACCGCCTCTACGCGAATTCCGATAAAAATTAGGCAATGTTGTTAACATCATGTTGCAAATAGTCAGTTTAGGTTAACATATGTAGCTGGACGTGATTAAATGAGTACTACTTTAAATTGTGATTGCAGAGGTGGTTTTCATTGAAAACCGCCAACACCGCCGCTACTTGAATTCCTAAAAATCATGTGAAAGTTTAAAAAAAGCGCAAAACATGAATTCACTTTTCGAATTTCGTTTGGTCTAGGCGTTTTGCATTAACACGGAGTCGCGAAAAGTACCTAAACGAGCGTCAAAATCGGGCGTTTGGCGTGTTGCCGAATTTTTAAATCGCTGTAACTCAGTTTCCCTAAGCCTCTCAGAAAAGTATAACGTATCAATGGATGCGGAATCGAACGAACAATATTTCCGACAGGTTTTTATTCAATCCCCACCAACTGCAAACACACTTTTAGGCGATAACGTGATTTTTAATTATTATGAAAATTAAAAAAATGGCCAAAATGTGGCAACAGTGGACTCAAATAAAATTTCCTTCTGCAGAGGTCGATAGAACGTAATTTTTTGCGTTGTTTGGTATGAATACGGGCTCTGTAACTGCATTTTACCGAAAGTCATGGATGTTTGAAGCTTGCGACTTTAAAAAATGGCAACGCTGTTTCCCTGCGGTTTTCGCCTAAGAGCAGCCAGATGTAGGCCCAAAATGACTCATACAATCATCCCACAGAGTTTAAGTACAATCCCCGCTGGGTCACTTTTTGGCCGTTTAGCATAACCCTCTTTGAAAAGTATGCAGACGTCTCCCTTGTGCGAAGTTTATCAATCAACGTGAATTCAATCCAACTACACCAAATTTCTCACATCAGAAGTTTTGAGTACTGCCAGCCTCAAATAGTTGATACTGTGAACTTTGCAAACTATCATTTGTACTTCTGTAACTACCTACATTGTAAGAAAGTAACAAAGCATTTTAAGCAATGGATGTTACAGACTGAAACTATTTGAACTGTGCGAGTGACATTTTTGCGGGTCTAACTAATTTAAAACTGGAAAGGTTTATGGCTGTTAATTTATTTACCCGCAGATGTGTTTTAGAATTAAGAGTCAGATGTTTTTCAAAGATGATCCCCATTTTCTTTTTAAAACAAGCCTTTGCTGAGGTACGATTCTATTTGTTTGTTGGAGGTCATGCCTTGCCATTGTTTTTGTTTGTAAAGTCTTTTATAACATACTGACTGAGTATTTAGGACTGTAATTAGTTCTCTGAAAAAGTATTGAAATTCTCTCATATTTTCTTTTTTAAAGTATCCTATAGTGCCTTTGAGACAATGTAAATTTTAATCAGGTTTACTTTTTGCTTTAATGTAACGCTGTGTTTTCCTCTGTACAAAAATTAGACTTGCCCATCAAATTTAAGGATCGTAAGTACTAAAGCGCCGCTCGTTCTGACAGAAAGGAGGTGTAAATCAGCAGACTTTAAATTTTGATTTCTTTAAATATCAAAATTATTGATTTATTTTTACTTGTCATCTCCTAACTTTTAACTTCTCTAGGGGTGTTAATATTCGGGAACCCTTTTTGCTGGTTTGTTTTCAATAAATTGTCTTGCTTTTTGAGGATCCAAGTGTTCCTGAAGTATTTTACTCCACAGAGTAAAATACTTCACGGGTACGGAAAGAGGGATGGTGAAACTCCTCAACGCATGTTGCTAAGAGTTCAGAGGTTCTGAGTATGAATCTTGGTATTCATCTGAATTTTTAATCCTTAATAATTTCTGAAAATTTTGTCCTAAGGAGGCTGTTTCAAATTTACATTTTTTCCAGAAGTAATATTCTACAAAATGTCCTGCCTCTTATCTGAAAAATGTTGAATATCTCAAGAAACAAGTAAATGTTTATTTTTTTTGTCAAGGATCATAGTTTTAATAAAAACTAGTCTTGTCTTAGATTAATTCTGCCAACCCCTCTTTTATATCAGGGGCTGCTTTGTGATAAAAAAAAAAAAAAAAAAAATTCCTCCCAATACCTACTCTTTTTTAATTTAAGGTTCATAGTAAATCTGTACCCGTCATCTTGCCAATATCAAAAAGCTTCATTGGTAATGTGTTTCTCAAGTAAGACTCTGTTGAATGTGTTTGATCAGCAATTGATTATTATTGGAATTTTCTGATAATTTTAGGAACAAAATGAATACTTTTGGGATGCATCGCCTTGAGGCCGACTTATATCCTTTAATTTTCAACTGTCCTTTGGGAGAGGGACATGAGCATGGAAGAGCACGAAGGTGAGATTTTGGTCCTATGACGAAGAGAAACGTTTTACAAACATATATGCCCAGAATTCCTGAAATTTCAAACCAAACCGTAGGTATGAAGGTTTGAAGCCAGCTGTTGAAAAAAAAAACATTTTTCCAGAAAATGGACGTGAGGTTTCATCTCTCACNGGGGGGGGGGGGGGGGGGGGGCTCAAAGTTATCAGACTTCAATGCAATCCAAGCACTCCATTGGTGTAAAATTAAATTAACTGCTCGGGACTCATTCCTGTGAATGCATCAAACTGAAAATTTAAATGTTGAAACTTTTGAAATGTTAATTCTGATTTCTTATCCGATTTTTCAATATTGGCTCCCCTGAAGAATTTTCCATCAAAGATGTAAGACCCTATTCTTATGAAAGGTCACAACTTATTGAAATTGGATTTTCATCAATCTTGCAGTTTTTCAGTGTTCTTGATCAACCAGAGATTGTATCAAAATGAAGTCCTCCAATGACTGTCATCTACAATCAGCTTCTTTTAATAGGTAATAATAATCTTCTTACTAAAATGAAAAAAGAAGAAAAATATTAGCTTCCGTATTTTCCGTTCTTAATTTTAGTCACTCCGTACTGTTTTTTTCGCTTTTATACAGTTAAATTATTAATTTTTACCTTCCTTGGTAAGGATTCTAGAATGACCTGAAGAGCTTTGAAGTTGAATCATTGTTTTTCTGCCTCTTCTCGTTCCGTTTTTTCCTGGCATCTTTGACTGGCACCTTTTAAGTCAATCAAACTTACTGCTGAAATAAATATTTTAATCGCACTAAAAGTCCTCTCATTATGTACCTACTATTGAAATCCTTGGATTGTTATTATTAATTTTTATCGGTATAAGCTTGTCTTAAAATCCAGACAGACGATGAATCAGTCGATTAAAAGACTTTCAAGACTCTCCTCTTTCTAGGAGGCAGCCAAGAAAGAAGCAGCACGCTGCATATTGGTGGCGTAAGTTAGAGTACCTTTATGGACAGAGTATGGCCATTTCTGTTCCGGTTTTTCATTGGTCGCGTGAAAATAGGCTGACACGATGTTCTTAGGGCCGTAAATAAACAAACAAGATGGCTGTTATCAGCAAGCAAGATTGAGGTTATGCACACCTTAGGTACATCCTCCTGCGATAAAGGTGAAAGGCGATGTAACGATGTTTTCATGTGTTTTTCGTGTGTTATTCGTAGACATGCTAGTTTAAATTGTTACTGTCTCATAATTGAAATTTTTGTCAAATTTAGCCTCTTATCGATGTTACGGTGAGCCGCCATTTTGTTTGTTTATTTACGGCCCTAAGAGCATCATGAAGCCTAAAAACTCGTTGACCAATCAAAAAGCGGAACAGTTTTCCTGTAGTAAAAAGATACGAATGGCCATACTCTGTCTATAAAGGTACTCTAGCGTAAGTGCGAATCCACGCAATTCCATTGCCGTGTTCTAGAATTTCTGCTCCTATTTTATTTTTTCGGAGAGAAACAAGCCAAATAGCTTGAAATGCATACCAAATTTTCTAATATCAGCGAAAAAAATTAAGGAGGTTTTCAGTAAATTACGTTGACTTCTTTTCCTCTGGAAAAATAAAGAATAACAGGAAGTATGCAACGTCGCAATAGCCT